TGCTTAGCTAGTTTATGCTTTGGTTATGTAATTTAAGTAGTTAATGCGTTTAGCTGCTTATTCGTGTTGTAATAGTTAGTTAACTAGGAATTGTTAATTAGCATTTGATGTAATAATTAGTTTAATTAGCTTAGATTAGCTTGTTAGCTTCTTATTCGGACCCTCCGTCGAGGGGGCCAATTATTGTAATAAGCGTGCGTATATGTGATGCATGTCTTCTAACCCCCATTTCTTTCTCCCTTTTACTTAACCGCTTACGATGGTTAGTTTTAGGGCATATTTCATGTAGCATACCTTATGCTCGCATGCGTGCATCATTCATCTGTTTTGCATGCACCGGGATCGGCGCATCATACTAATTGCATTGTATTTCAATACATTTAGTTGAATACATGTTATCAAGTTGCATTTCACATGCCATCTTAGAATAGCCGAGCCTATTTTAGTTGCATTCTCGCATGTGTCGCATTAGCTATCTTAGCATGAACTAGGATCATGTATGATTTCTAACTAGTTCTCTGTTTTGGCTTGGAGTACACTGTGAGTGTTTACGCTTTAGCATACTGCATGTGTGTTAATGTTGCCGTGAAAGCATGCTTGCCATGAGGCTAACTGCGTTTGTGATATAACTGCCTGAATGCCTGTGGGTGAAGGTTGGATTACTTGAATTGGAACAATTCATTAAAATCCCTGATTTAGCCTACTTACGAGTAGCAAACTCCAAACCATTTTCAAACGAATATGCAATGTTTTGTTCCAAATTAGGCAATCTAGTCTGTACTTGTATGATGTGCGCATCATGTAGTAAGATTAGCTAATTAACTGGAATAAGAGCACATGTGTTTTCAAAAACAAAATATCATGCTTAGTACAGGCCGATCTTTGATCAGGCGAGCGGGGGTGCTCATTGCATGACCTTCCCCTTTCGTACCCATGTTCCCGAGCTGATGCAACTTTGGTGATGACGGACACATAGCCTTAGGCACGAGTCAGGGTTTCCTAAATTCCCCCAAAATAAAATATTTAGGTGGTGACTCTATATTTGGCAAACCAGTCCATGTTTGGCACTTTTTTTATAAAAATTAGTTTTCCAAAACGATTTGCTGGATTTGGACTCTTTGGTGATTCATCGATCTTGCATTGCACTTTGGGAGATTAGATTCAGAACCGTGACATTGAGTCTGAACTGTAGTAGCTCAGAACAAAATGAGATCCGCGCCCCCCTCGCGAGCGTGGATATCGGAGAGTTCCCGGGAGCACGTCTACAATTTCTGGCGACTCTGCTGGGGACTTAGAGAACTTGACTCGAACTCATGATATCTTGTTTTGACTAGACTTATGTGTTTCTTTGCATTGCATTTGCATTAGTGCGCCTAGGACACTGTGTTTGCCATATGCTATTTCTGAAAGGTTTGTCAAAGGCTCGCTTGGAAAAGCGTGCCATAAGGTTGACCGGTTGCGGGCTCTGCCACGACGGGAACACAAACCTTGGTTTTTACTGAGGTACCCCTTTTGACCATTTGACCTAGTGCATATTCGGAATCCATAGTGACTATTCCAAATTAGGACAGGTTGCTTACCCAATTGTAGGTTGTTTGAAACCGCTGCGTGCGTAGTGAAACCCTAGCTCCTGACAAAATAGGACAGGGGAACCCTACCCCAACATAGGGGTGTTTTGGCTCTCATTTACTTACTATGTGCTTTTAGAGTGTGCCTCTACAGGAATGCATGTATCAGTTTGCAAGTCTAGGTATCAGGACTGCGGGCATCAATAGTTGGGAGAATCAGTTTTACCTGAGGGTATCAGTTTACAGGCAGGGTTTTGGGCAGAATTCAGTAGAGATCACAGTCATTCAGCTTTGCTTATATCTGTTTTGGTGAAATTGGGCTGAGATATTGTTTGTTTTCTCTTTTGCTAGGTAGTCTTGGAATCATATCTTCAGAAGGCTCCAATATCCCCCGGGTACGTTGGACTTGTGCTGATAGACTTTGTCAGGTTAGAGATTCAGTTCAAAGGCAATCAGTGTTCCTTCGCCAGAGGCAGGGTAAAAAGGCCAGTCAGGCACAGATCACCAGTTTAACAATCTCCAGATCAGCGGTCATTATCCACCTCACCTGTGCGCAGTTGGGCTGAGATATCTGCTTCCACCTCAGAGAGGGAATACACACTTGTTCAGTTAGATCAACAGCTTTCAGTTAATATGGAGGACATGATGCATCAACTCTAAGAGACCATGCAGGCCATGCAGCAGGATGGTGCACGCCAGACCGAGGTTGTGGCCCAGCAGGTTGAACTCATCGCCAGGCTTCAACAGCAGCAGTTACAAACACAACAGGGTATAACTTCTACATCCCATCCACCTCTAGTATAAACTCCTGCACCAAGGGTTCCTGCCCCTACCGCTAATGCCCAGGATAATACAGATATCCCAATGGACCCCACTCCACCTTAGACTTCCAAAGCACAAGCTTACCCAATTAAGGCCCCTTTCGAGTTCGAAGTGGATCCAACTGTGTTAAAAGTGAGCAAGCTTGAAAAGCTGTTCAAGAAGGCTCAAGGCGTGAAATCCATTCAAGACATAGAGGATGGATACACCGATTCGGCCGTGACTCTACCGGACCGGTTCAAGATGCCACATATCGACCGTTTCGATGGCTCTGGAGACCCAATGGTACACCTCCATCTATTTTCTGATGTCATGAGGCCAATGGGCTTGACCACAGCCCAGAAGTTGTCGCTATTCGGCTGAACCATGTCTGGGATAGCCGCAATTTGGTATGCAAAATTGGAGAACTCTGTGAAATAGAGCTTGGAAGAGATGGTTGAGGCCTTCATTGCTCAATACTCCTATAACACATAGATTGAGGTCACAACTCGTGATCTTGAAGTCACCCGCCAAGAGCCAAATGAGGGTTTTTCAGAGTTTGTGACGAGATGGAGAGCAAAGGCCTCGATGGTGACTACAAGGCCTTCCAACAAAGACCAAATAAGGATGGTTTTGCGCAATCTCCAACCCAGATTGATGCAAAAAATGATAGTCGTACCCTTCCCTACCTTTGCCGACTTGCATAAGCTTGGGGTACAGATCGAGGACGCTATGAAGCAGGGCCTCATTGACCAGGAGAAGGAGCAGCCCAGGAGGGCATTTTCCTGCAGTTCGAATGCGACCACCAGTGGTGATGTGGCTGCAAGATCTTCTGAAGTGGGCATGGTCACCACCACCACATCAAAAACAGCTACCCCATTCACCAGTGCGTTCAGAAGTAGCTCACAAAAAACCAAATATCCACCTCGAGTCAAGAGGGTTTTTACCCCACTTTATATGCTTTTGTCAAAGGCTCTAGGGGTCTTACTCCGGAAAGGACATCTGAAACCGTTAAAACAACGGCCTTTACCTGATCTTATCCCTCCAAAGCATGACCAGACTAAGTGTTGTACCTAGCATCAACAAAC